CTCGGATGCTGTGGGATAAAACTGCTATTAAAATAGAAAAGAGTAAATCTCCGGGATTTGATGGGACCAATATTAAGTACCTACAGCATACCAGTGATCATCTCACCCAGAGTACTCGCTTTACTGTAGAACTTATGTTGAATCATGGTTACCTTCAAGCAGACCTAATGAAAAATATGGCTGTGCCAAGTTTTAAGATTATCTCATTATAAGCGATCCTTAAATGAAAGCTGTGGCCTGTGAGTGTATATTATCTCCATTCAAAATTTATAATTTTATCCTCGTACTCATTCTTGATGTTGAACAAAACATTTTATAATCCTTGTTGAAAACATCATGTGTGAAAATTTCAATGTTTGGTAAGTGCAGGTATCGCATAGGTCAGCTATACTCAACCTGCGGCCCGCCGGGCCTTTGTTATTGGCCCATCTGAAGTTACATCTCAGAGTTGACTTCCGTTTTAAATTGTAATTACTCAGAGTTGTTCAAACAGTTCATCGATTTTGAAAACGATACCAATCTATAAGTTCTGTTTAAATAAAAAAGGGAAAACAGACCATGACTGACACGTGTTTGTGTCCCCTATAAAAAAAAGGTTAAGTATGGCTAGCAAAGGTGATAAGATTTTCGAAAATTATTTATTAATTAAATGTTATTGTACGATATTTAACGTCTACTTATTTTTACTAAAGTTTTTTATTTTATTTATTGTACCATACAGTACAGTAAAGGTAATTAATTATTAAAATATTGTAAAACAGTTTTAGCAGTCCATTATTTTCATAAAAGCGATTCTACACCTATTTTGACAGACCCATTTTTGTTAGGTACGTAACAGGTATGATTTTTTTTTTCTTAAAATTATTTAATACTTCTAACGTATGGATGCTCTGTAGATGGGGTTAATAACGTAAACCTATTTTGAGGTGCAATGTTACATTAGAGCGCGTCATGAAATTGCCTGAAATTATGAGATTAATCTGCTCTCTGAATAATACACTAGATTTACTATGCTTGTACTTGGAATATAAGAATTTACTACACTTTACTACACTATTAGCGTATAATTGCTCTTTATATTATAACTAGCATTGTCCGCACGCGTTCAGGTGACCAAAAACCAAATTCATACATTTTACATATTAGTATTCTCTTGCAATGTATTTTTGTATTTTTACTCAGAAATCAGATATTTTCCCGCGGCAAAAAGTATCCTATATGTTAACCAGGATATCCAGCTATCACCATACCAAATTTCATAAAAATCCCTCCAGTGGTTTTTCCGTGATGTGGTAACAGACAGACAGACAAAAACTCTAAAATATATAGATTCAGCCTCTATATCGATAGAAATTTCTATTTCAATAAGATTTTCCAAAAAATATTTAGTTACATTAATTACTTATACTTCATTTTTTTTAATAATAAGGCGCAAATTTTTAGTTATTACCCATAAACTAAGATGTAATTTTTTCATAAATTAATTCATTTTACTTTGTATATACGTAATTATACAATATGTAATTTACTGATGAAAACAAAGAATAGAGACCCAACTACATGTGTCATAACAATTTAACAACTTTTTATTAACAATTAATTATAACTCTTCAATTAAACAAAATTCCCAACACCATAAACCTATTCAATGAGCCTAAACACGAAATCTCTATTCTCTGCTGTATTTTAATAAAAAGTTGATTGAGATTGAGTATCTTGCAGATTCCAGGTGACGCTGCAGCATCAGGCGTAGTTTACCATATCATTGCAATCTCATTAAAGTAACGGGATACCAAGTTTCGAATCTATTAGATCTGAGGAAGTTCCTCATATCCTTCTACCGTCTAGAAATGAGCTGATGGCCTGCAAACGGCTGAACAGATTTTCTTGATTTAAAGCAAGAACTCTCTCGAACAAGTCACCTTTGAAATAAAAAATAAAATAAAATAGGTTTGCCCGTTTTTGCGCTAAGATGCCACAGACAGATAAACACATTCACAAACACTTGCCTCAGAGGTTAAAAATATAGAGTAGATATATATTTAACAATTAAAAAAAATATAAAGAAGAATAAAGATTGTAAGAGTTGACCCTCAGTTTATATGAGAACACCAAGTTCACAGAATCTAAGCAACCTTGAATCTACTTAACAAATTGAATAGAAGTTTAACAATGCATTTAAGTGCTACGCTTTCTATTATAACGTCAGCTATTTTCAGATTTTGCAAGTTTTTAAATAAGACCAATTGAATTACAAACTCGATTCTGTTTTTTTTATATGTAGAGATATAGACTTATATATTTAGGCAGATAATATTAAGGCTACTTGTCTTGCTAGCCTTGGACCGCAAATATATGTTAAAGTAACGTCCTACAGCCGTATTCAAAGAATATAGAATATTGCTATTTTAGATATAAATTAATGGCTTGTAATATTATTAATCCCTCCGCGACCGCGGACACGCCGGCGTTACAGTTAACAATAGATTTCTTAGAAATTTAATTAATTTCTTAGAAATTTACCTGAAGGTGTTAAACTATAATTTATTAAGCTGTAGAGTTAAAATTCTATTCCAGTAAGCAAGCCTTAAAATCTTCTTATATCAATAACAGTCGTGAAAAACTTTTTGAATATACTTAAGTAGATCTTTTCGCATTTCTATTTTTTAATGTTTAGTGTAAGTAAAAATCTGCAAATGTAGGATTTTAGCTAGAAACAGTTTTTTACATTAATATTAAATGTGAAACAAAAGAACCGATGTTATATAAATGAGCGGAAGTCAAAAGTGGTCTAAGCTTCCACTGTACTAAAAATAACACGTCTGGTTGTTTACCATGAACTAGTTTCTCCGTTGCGGATTTAAATGACCAACCCTACTCATGCATAGTCTTGTTTAAAAAATCTAAGCTCAACCGTGTTAAATACTAAGAACATATTAAATGAATATAATTAACTTAAATTCTAACAAGAATTTCACTTGCAATGAACAAACACTATATATATATATATATATATATATATATATATATATATATATATATATATATATATATATATATAATATGTATATATATTTTTTATGCTGCAATATATAAAATTATGAAAGCCTTGCAGTACAAATAGCATCGCATCGTTAGCGTGCAAACGAGGTGTACCAGAATTTTCGCTTAGCGGGAGGAAATGGAAAATACACTCGTTCCAAACCGCTGATGTTATACTTCACTCGCAATACGCAGTAAATGTCAATATTTATATTCACTGGAAGTGTACCTGTTACATTACTATATAAAATATTCGATAAAAGTGTTGCCTCTGCTGGAATAAGTTTCTTAAGCTAAACATAAATATAATCTAGATGTTCAACCACTTTCAAAATGTACTTGCGAAATAATTATGGAATGGCATATTAATATTATATTTTGAATTATAATCATTTATTTTTATCATATTAAAAAAACCTGCGAATCTTATTAAAGGAATCGTACATTTTATGTATCTTACGATTCCTATTTCATTACTATAGCGATCTTGGTCCGCTATTGTCTTTAATTTGAACTAAATAAATGTCCGCATTATATGTGTTAAAGAGCAAACGTACCAAGATTAAAGAAAGAAATATCTATCAACTTCCTAAAATTTCGTAACCACCACCAAAAAAAACTAACAAGTGTTTTTTCTCTTCTGTGGAACTGGACTATCATATTGAGGCTTATGAGTTACTAGCGGCTCACCCTCGCTTCGCTCGGGTTCGTCGCTAGGTACGTTTTAAATAGATATAAAAAGAAAAAATCTTTCTTTCTCACATTTTAATTATATGTTTTAATACTTACCTATTCCGGACTAAGAGAAATCCAAAAATTAAAATATCATAAAAATTGGAACGCGGTCGAACGGGATAAAAAGTATCCTATGTCCTTCTCCTGGCTCTAAACTACCTCCCTGCCAATTTTCAGCTAAATCGGTTCAGCCGTTCTTGAGTTATAAGCGAAGTAACTAACACGACTTTCTTTTATATATATAGATGTGCATGTTCAGAAACACTTATGTCTGACATAATACTAGAAGCAACATAAAGCTATAATTGAGAACGAAGTTGTATAAGTCGAAGTAATAGAAAATGCAACAAAATATTTCCATAATAATGTATATTGCGTTTTAGTAACATGTGTGATGTGTCTGAGCTTACAACATAATATTATAACGATGTGTGTTGGGTGGACGGTGCCACGGTGGTAGTACTCATGTTGGAGCAGACAATGATAATCATGTAATTGACGCTGTAGAAGCAATAAACACATTCTATAGAGTGCAAAAACCAATCCATAAATAATTGTGTTTATTATAAATGTTGCTCGTTGGTAAGCGCATCACACGGTTGAACCAATAAGGTTTTTTTTAATAAAATATACGTAACAGTCTGGGTTAGAATTTAGAGAAAAATATGTAAATGAAAAGGAAAGGACAATTGGAAAATTCGGGCTAAAAGTACGGTTTTTTTATAAGTTTCTTGTATGACCCTCGCTTCGCTCGTGTTCTTCCCTAGCTTGATTCCCCATACAAACTTTCATCCCCATTTTCACCCCCTTAAGGGATGATTTCCGGAATAAAAAGTATCCTATGTCCTTCCCAGGGTCTCAAACTATCTTCTTACCAAATTTCAATTAAGTCGGTTTAGTAGATTCAGAGATTACCCCCTACAACGTCTCCAGCTCACAAACTTTGCAGACCGTTCATTGTAAGAAGTCAGTTCGTTGCTATGTTGGTTACCTTGTTAACAGTATTGCCACTATATACATTCGGTTTATTTACATATTCAGGTTGGAAATTCAAATTTTAATACATATCATTTCTATCAACGCAAGTGTGAGCTTAATCATATAAAATGCGAAAAATAATCTAATTATAGCAAATAGACTGCGTATTAAAGAAAAATCAGGTTGGTATTTAAAATAAAACAAATATTTACAGTTAAATATATTGGAATCATAAATATATTTTACGATTTGCAGTACGTATGATCAAATGGTATTACTCCCGATAAATCGCTATCACTTGATTCAGTACTATCTGATTCAGTGTCAGATTCATTTCCCAGTTCAATGATAAATTGATCTATTTCTCTGTCCATACAAGGATGAAGATTATAAAATTTATCTTCAATATTTTTAACATGTTGACACTGTTTTTGCCAATCCTCTGCTGTAATTGAGGCAAAAGCTTCTTCAGTCAACTTAACAATATTTTTAGTTTCTTGACCAACATTATTTGCCGCAACTCGTCTTTTCATAAGACTCCACATGTATTCAATTGCGTTTAACTCACAATGATAAGGGGGTAGCCTCGCCACTTTATGACATATCGCATCAATACCTGATCCGCCTCATAAATTGGAGGTTCTTTACGCTCGTTTATTATTTCATATAGTTCTACTTTAAGCATTGTCGATAAATATGACAATCCCTTATTTTCAATCCACTGCTGCATTTGTGCTTTCGTCGAACTCATATTTGGTGCCTTGTTGATCTGTACTGTATGGTACGGTGCACTATCCAGACAACTAAGGCATTTTTTGGTAAGTTAGGAATCAATTTTTCGGTTAGCCATTTCATAAAATTTGTCCTATTCATGTCGTCATGGTAATCACCTGATTTCGACTGTGATTTGAAAATCAGTTGTGCGTTGGAAATAAATCCTGTTTCACCGCCCGCATTTACAATTATCCACCGTGCCCTCGTGGAATCACTTTTTGAAACTCCTGGCTCGTCATCACTTTGCCAACGTTTATTGACAGAATATGAAGAATGTATGAAAGTTTCGTCTAGAAAGATAATAGGTCTGCCTTCAAGGCGATTTTCCCTTAGTATATTAATATATTTATGCCTGCAAGCAACAATATCATGTCGCTCCATGAGCAACCTTCGTATAGATCCACATTTTTTGAATTAAAATCCAATTTGTCGTAATGTTTTCCATAACGTAGTACGACCACCTTTGAAATCTAAGTCATTTCTTAATTCAATTAACAATTTATTTAAAGTTGGTACTTCTTTTCTCACAGTTTACAACGAGTAATTCTAGAAACTGTTCTATCAGATATACCTGTAACAGATATTTACGAAAGGTTTACAAATTACAATACATTTCAAGAAAATTTCGTAAGCATATTGAAAGTTCATTATTATAATATAATTTAATTTCTTTAATGTTTTAGTGAAAAAACAACGCAGTTAACATTACTGACTGAATATCTTAATATTATAAAATGTCAGTTTTTTTACCTATAAATGAGAAAAATCTTTAAAGCTGGTAACTCTATTTTACTAACCCGTCATGGCGGCGACTCGTGATACAACATTTTCTAATGGAATTAGTGGACCTTTGTTTGATTTTTCTTTCTCGTAAAAGGCACGCACCTTTACCACAATCTCTCTCCCACTGCTTTTTAGTACTTTTGGCATGATTTTGCAAAAACACAGTATATTTCGGATTAAAAACTACGCGCTTACTGTCGCAACTAAACATTGATAGTTATGAATGTTGTTGTTACGGCAGTCAGTGCTGCCAACTTGACCGAAACGGACAAGTTATGATGAACGATCTATACCTAGGCTCTTTATAATATTAGTACAGATAGTAATAGTATATTAGATTAGTTGGCGGTAAGAGACCATAAACTATTTTTTATTGCATATATGTAATTGCCGTTATATTTAAGCAGGCGCTAGATACAGCTTGAACTCTGATGAAGTGATATTGGACCCGCTGTCGCTTAGTTGAGTCTTTGTGTTATGTGGTTACGAGGAAATTATTATTTACAGTGAAGTTATATTAATTAAAATAATTCATAAAGTTTTAAATATACTAAGATTTAGGCATAAATAATATTTTTAAATATATTCTTATATTTTCTTACTTTACAGGATATTGTAATTCTGAAGCAGGTTTTTACTCTACAAAAAACTTGAGTATTCCTACCAATATATTTTATTACAATAAATGTCCACAAACTGAAAAGTGTCTTAGATTTACATTTCAATATTTTCTAACTGAAATTTTGAAACATTAGTAATAACTCATCATTTAAAATTATATGTGCTATATTTACGAGTACTAATATACCTACTATAACATATAAATATGGACATAATATATATAACATTTGAAAGAATCATATAAGAGTCATATAATCTTTATAGTTTTATACTAGAATTCCTAAGTGCTTAGAGCAATAAGCCTCATTGCTGGTATGTATGAAATAATAAGCAAAAGCAGACGGAATGCCGTTTATAGTATTTTAAGTTTATGAGGCGTCGGGCGTTCGTGTAGACGCCATAATTATGCGCATTAACCGGTTAAACATACTTAACTATATAGAAATGAAAGAATGATCTATAATTATTTAAGGGTTGACAGTAGAAAATATAATCTATTAAAAAGTTTGCCGCTAAAATTAGTAACGCTACGAAAAATTTAATTAAAAATGAAATGAGAATGTCTTATTAATACGAATATTTGTGGGAATGTTACTAGTTGCGGCTTTAGAGATGGGTACGTGATGGTATATTATATTTATTTCTGAACTAGCATTGCCCGCGGCTCCGCCGCATTCAAATGACCAAAAACAAAATTCTTAGGTTTTACATATTAGTATACTCTTACATTGCAGTTTTTGTATTTTTTCGCAGAATGAGACATTTTCCCGCGGTAAAAAGTATCCTATATATTGACCCTGATAACCAGCTATCATCATACCAAATTTCATCAAAATCCCTCCAGTGGGTTTTCCGTGATACGGTAACAGGCAGACAGACAGACAGACAGACAGACAGACAGACAGACAAAAATTCTAAAAACTATAGATTCAGCCTCTGTATCGATAATAATATCTATTTCAATAAGATTTTCCAAAAAATATTTAATGTACAGATTCGGCTTAGTTACAATTTTATTATATGTATAGATGATTCACCGCTGTATATTTTCAGATCTTTAAGAAAAACAACTTAATGATATGTAATTAAGTAAGTACCTAGAAAAGCAATTGTATAATACAGAGAGAGGTAGTGCTGGCTTGTATAGTATTATGTAACCTGTGGTACTGGTAAAGATGCTGTAAACATATAGTGTTCAGGGAACGAAATAGCACGAATACGCGTGAACAAGACATTTGACGACACGTTTGGCTCAGTTGGTAGTGACCTTACTTGCTGTGCCAGCGGTCGCGGGTTTGAGTCCCACTGGGGGCATCCGTTTGAGTGATGAGCACGAATGTTTGTACTCCAGTCATGGGTGTTTATATTTATAATATGTATGTATTTAAAGTTATATAATTATGTGTAGTGTATCAAATATCTGGTATCCATAACACAAGCCTCGTAGCTTACCATGGAACTAGATGGCGCTGTGTGTTAATGTCCCAACATTTATTATTATTATTATTTATTATTTCTGTACCAGCAATAAGGACATTTTTTGTTTGGGGACATTTAATTTCCACCCTAAAACCAAGCTTTTAAAAAAATTACAGGAAATAAAAAATAATCACTATATTACCATAGTCAACCCTAGTATTAGTTCCGTGTTAGCATGTGTTAAGTTAATGGAATACAAAGTGTATATCTTCAAGTATGAAATTTGTTCAAGGAGCTCCTTACTAAGCGATAGTAAGGGTAAAGAAATATAAGTATTTATTTCATTTATTTATTTCATTTCATTTAATTCGTAGTAACAAAAATGGATACAAGGACCCTCTTATCTAATTTAAGACTATAGCTTAAGGAGATAAGTTGTTACATACTTAGAAGTATATAATAATATAATATTAAGACAATGATAATTAAGTTATACATTATTTTTAGGAATATATAATAAGTAAGTAACTAATTCATATATAAACAGGCAAAGACAAAACAGATCAGCACCTTGTTATTCTCTTTTGTGTTACAACCATTTTTTTGTTTAGGAGCTACGAGCTTTAGTGTTATCAATAAAGTGCTACTATATCTTTATTTACATTTTTACATTACAATATTTACCCTTTTTTTACATAATACTTTCTAAGATTTACGCGAATATTTGATATTTTAAATAAAACTATCTTTTCGGTTTTTTCGCGAATTTATTTTGATTTTTGGTTTCCGACGTATCGAATGCTTTAAGCAATCATGGACACGGAAGAGACCTCCTCTCTTTCTCTTTAAAACTTTTTTATACATTTTATATACGTATAATTGAAACACAATTTTTTTCAAATCAGACTGGTATAAACATAAAGTTACTAAATTTTATATAGTACGTACTAATGCGAATACCTGAGTTCAATGTTTTGTTGTAAATCTTGTATTATTTTTAGTAACAAACCGTACACCCATGAGAGTAATAAATCAAGACCTTGTTACTCGTCTTATGGTAGTCCATTATTTATATTGACATGATTAAAAAAAATGAAGTTATTGATCTATTTTTCTTTGCATAGCTCGCATGTGACGAAAAAAAGCAGTTCTAAATTTTATTCATATATTTTTATAAAAGCTAAAATCCATTCGTAGACCAAGCAAACAATGTGGGCCATGTACGACGCAGGTAATTATTGTGATTAATTCTTAAGTTAGCTATCAAGATCGCGTTGCATGTTGCACAAAACCAAACAGCCAACAATTTGTTACGGGATTTCCGCTGACTAAGCTTTTCATTTTGAGCTATCTCGTTTTACTGTATTTTTAATAGAATTAATTTAATTCAAAAAAAAATATATTCAGCATTAAATATATTTGTTTATGAACGACATTGGTGTATTTCAAGTAAAATTCTTAAACAGTTAAAATAAAGTATTATCGTGGTTTTCGTTTGTAGTTTAATATAAAAAAGAATTTACACTCATGAGTTTAAAATTCATCATCAAATTACAATTAAAATTGTAGAATTTGATTAATAGCTTATGTAGTATATTATAAGTTATAATATATAAATAATTCATGATAATACCAAGGAAGTTGAAATTACATGCGACATGCATAAGGAGACCCCTCCAGGCGACAATATTAGTGATTAAGATGCATATAAAAGCGTTAGTTAAAACTAATGGTTGGAATAAATAACTATTATAATGTAAGTAAGAAGCACTTAAAGGTTTAATTTTATAACGTTAACTTGTATAGTTTAAAAAACTGTTAGTATTCTACGTGGAACGAAATGTGATGTAATTTTTGTATTGTTATTGATGAAAATTATTTTGTAACTGATACCAATTTTTAAGATGTTAGGTTTATTGCAATGCAAATTATATTATTATTTAAGAAA